GTGTGTGTGTGTGTGTGTGAGTGTGAGTGTGTGTGTGTGTACCTGTTTTTCTATTTTGGTCGGGACTTAAACCTGAATACACACAGACTCATGGGTACTCATGTCACGGTGGGGACCTAAATTGTGGTCCCCACGGGTACAAAAGCTTATAAATCATACAGAATTAAGTTTTTTGAAAATCTAAAAATGCAGAAAGTTTCCTGTAAGGGGTAGGTTTAGGGGTAGGTTTGGTGTAGGGCAATTGAATATACGGTCTGTACAGTACAAAAACCATTACACCTATGGAGAGTCCCCACAAGGATAGCTGACCAGACGTGTGTGTGTGTGTGTGTGTGTGTGTGTGTGTGTGTGTGAGAGAGAGAGAGAGAGAGAGAGTGTGTGTGTTTTCCTTCAGCTAATGTTTGGCCATAAGTCAAGGCCACATCTAAGTGTTTGTTTTTCTTGCACTTTTGGCTGCGGTGAATGTTTTACTATGTTGTAATGCTTCAGGAAAACTGCAGAAGAAATGAGATTACCACAAACACATCATCAATAAAATCATGCTCGTTTGAGCTTTCACAGACGCTCTATATTAATGTGCGCTGCTGGAAAACTCAGATTTCACCTTTTACATTAAAACCAGCGATCGAGGAGACGTCCTGTAAAAATAAGCAGTTATTGTATGAGTTATTCTCTATATGTGACACTCTAGCACAAAACCAGTCATAAGGGTACATTTTTTGGAAATTGAGATTTATACATCATCTGAAAGCTGAATAAATAATATTGATGTCCATTGATGTATGGTTTGTTAGGATAGGACAATATTTGGCTGAGATACAACTATTTGAAAATCTGGAATCTGAGGGAGCAAAAAAATCTAAATATTGAGAAAATCATCTTTAAAGTTGTTCAAATTAAGTTCTTAGCAATGCATATTACTAATCAAAAATTAAATTTTGATATATTTACGGTAGGAAATTTACAAAATATCTTCATGGAACATGATCTTTACTTCATATCCTAATGATTTTTGGCATAAAAGAGAAATGGATCATTTTGACCCATACAATGTATTGTTGGCTATTGCTACAAATATACCCCAGCGACTTAAGACTGCTTTTGAGCTCCAGGGTCACATATGTGCTGGCTGACGGTCAGTGTGTGTGTGTGTGTGTGTGTGTTAAGTGTGAGCAGGAGAACGCTATGACATGCCTGAAGAAGCAGCAGCAGGAGCTGGAGCACATGAGGTTACGCTACATGGCCGCTGAAGAGAAGGAAGCCGTCAAGAATGAGAAACATGAGCTCCAGGACATCCGTAACGAGCTGAACAGGTAAAAACCGCTGTTTTCTGATCCAAGCTTCTGTTGCTTTCAGTCACTTATGTGAATTTAAAATAAGAGTCCTTGCTAAATGACAAACTAGGGCTGCACGATTATCCAAAATAAAAACAAAATCATGATATGGCTCATTAAATCTCAAAGGCTGTGGTTTATTGAAGTGAATATCTGCGCTGCGTGTTTTCAGAGTCAAGCGCGGCACTGTGTTGTTTTACACGTGAGCAGCTCGTGATCCAGTGTTTTCAGTGTCTCACAGCGGTTCGGTTCGGTCTTCTTGAGTTGTTTTAATGCACGTTTGGGAACATAACATCGCCAACCATCTTCACAAACTATAATGACATGCTCTTTTAAACCGGCTGTTATCAACAAAAGTAAAGCTTTAACTAGAGGTATGCGATATTGACAAAAACTAATATCTCGATATTTTCTGGGATTTTATCGATAACGATAATTAGACGATATTTTGCTGAGTGTGTTATTGTGCTGGTATCTTAAGGACTACCGTGGAAGTTTTTGATATTCTTCATATTCTGTGTGCTGGTCCGTTCATATTGATAGAAATTAATCTTTTCCAATAAGTTTAAACTGATTTTTACATTTTATGAGCATTTTTACCTTTATAAAGCCATTTGTTCTAAAAGTGTGCATTATCTTTTGAGTCAAATTCTAATAATAAAAAACATATGGGCTGTTACCAAGCAAATGAAAGCGCACTCTAATGTACGCGCACTAGTCTAGACTTCACGTAATGTATGCGCGCACTCTGTAGGTGTGCTTTGAATGGTTTTTGCAAAATACTCAGTCAAATTGCACATCGTTAAAACAACAATTGCGATATTATCGCAGACAATATATATCGCACACCCCTAGCTTTAACCCTCTGGTGCTCCTCCCATGGTGGTCAAAAATCATTTTTATTTCAATGAAATATATGTACTACAGTGGGGAAAATATTTATTTGATCCCCTGCTGATCTTGTAAGTTTGCCCACTTGCAAAGAAATGAAGGGTCTGTCATTTTTATGGCAGGTTTATTTTAACGGATAGAGACCGAATACCAACCAAAAAAATCCAGAAAAAACACATTATATGAAGGTTAGAGACTGATTTGCATTTCAGTGAGTGAAATAAGTATTTGATCCCCTACTAACCAGCAAGAATTCTGGCTCCCACAGATTGGTTATGTGCCCATGTGGAACACAGATTAGTCCTGCCACTTTAAGAAGTTACTCCTAATGTCAGCTCGTTAGGTGTATAAGACACCTGTCCACACAATCTGTATCTTCCATTCCAACCTCTCAAGACCAAAGAGCTGTCAAAGCATGTCAGAGACAAGATTGTAGATCTGCACAAGGCTTGAATGGGCTTCAAGACCATCAGCAAGAAGCTTGGTGAGAAGGAGACAACTGTTGGTGCGATTATTCGGAAATGGAAGAAATACAAAACAACCATCAATCAGCCTCGGTCTGGAGCTCCGTGTAAGATCTCGTCTCATGGGGTAAAGAGGATCATGAGAAAGGTGAGGGATCTGCCCAGAACTACACGGGAGGAGCTTGTTAATGATCTTAAGGCAGTTGAGAACACAGTCACCAAGCAAACCATTGGTAATGCACTACACTGCAATGGACTGAAATCCTGCTCAAGAAGGCACATGTACAGCCCGTTTAAAGTTTGCCAAAGAACATCTAAATGATTCAGAGAAGGCTTGGGAGAAAGTGCTGTGGTCAGATGAGACCAAAATTGAGCTCTTTGGCATTAAAGTGGGCACTTTATGTGTTATTAAAGTGGGCTATTATGGGTTATGAAAGGTTCATAATTTGGTTTTGGGAGTCCCCAACAACAGGTTGACATGCATGCAAGGTCAAAAATGTATAGCGTTGTTACCGGGGAAACCGCTATTTTTACTGCTCCAAAAGCGGCACCTAATGGCAAAGAATTAATTTGCATTTTCATTTAGACCAACGCGAAAAGACCAACACGTGGGCGGGCAATATGCTAATGTTTTATGTTGATGTCAACATAAAACGGCTTGGGATTTGTTTTAAAAACAACTGGTTTAAATGATTCAGAGTCGACTCTTTGTTTTGAGAGACAATAACTTTATACACAGTGCACGTTCAGATTTAAAACTTTGCAGGATGTTTTCATTCACTTAGAGCTGTGTTACACACGGCATGAAAGGTAATTTTCAAAAATCCATAATAGGGGCACTTTAACTCGACTCGCCGTGTTTGGAGAGAGAGAAATGCTGACTATGACCCCAAGAACACATCCCTACAGTCGAACACGGAGCTGGAAACATTATGCTTTGGGGCTGTTTTTCTGCTAAGGTTACAGGACGACTTCACCGCATTGAGGGGCAAATGAACGGGACATGTACTGTAAAATCTTGGACGAGAACCTCCTTCCCTCAGCCAGAACACTGAAGATGGATCATGGATGGGTCTTCCAGCATGACAATGACCCGAAACATACCGCCAAGGCAACAAAGGAGTGGCTCAAGAAGCAGCACATTAAGGTCATGGAGGGGCCTAGCCAGTCTCCAGACCTCAATCCTATAGAAAATCTGTAGAGGGAGCTGAAACTTCCAGTTGCCAAACGACTGCGAAGAAACCTTAATGATTTAGAGAGGATCTGTAAAGAGGAGTGGACCAAAATCCCTCCTGAGATGTGTGCAAACCTGGTGACCAACTACAAGAAACGTCTTACCTCTGTGCTTGCCAACAAGGCTTTCTGCACCAAGTTCTAAGTCAAAGTACTTATTTCACTCACTGAAATGCACTGAAATCAATTTCTAACCTTTATATAATGTGTTTTTTCTGGATTTTTTTGGTTGATATTCTGTCTCTATACGTTAAAATAAACCTACCGTAAAAATGACAGACCCTTCATTTCTTTGTAAGTGGGTAAACTTACAAAATCAGCAGGGGATCAGATAAATATTTTCCCCACTGTATATTTTAGTTTGATGATAATCTTTTGTATTTTTAGGGGATTTTATGCTACTAAATTATATTTATAGAATAGCTATGATCCATTTATTACCTGTTAAAGACATTTTGATCATTGACTTGAAAAATAAATTTCCAGCTCAAACTCATAAAACTTACGTTTGATCTCTTTTTACAAAGGCATTTGTCAGATTATTGCTGAAGTGGAAAAAAAAAATTCTAAAAGTTTAATTTTATTATTATGAAATATGTTTTTTCCAAACCGTGTTTTACTCTAAAACTTCAAAAATCAAAGCTATAAATCTAAACAAGTTGTGTTCCAAATTTGAGGTTGATATCACAAAACATGAGTCAGATTTTTTTTTTTTTTTGGGATGTAATACTGAATGTTTCCACTAGATGAAATTCACTTCCCATTCGTTTGCAACGCGTCATTTTTGACCGTGAACAAGTGTGATAATATTTTTCAGGACCATTTAACCTTTTCAAATCATATCCATGATTTATTTTATTTTTTTTGTGTTCACGTGCCAAAACCTTTGCCAAGTTTTGTAACATTCCAATAAAGTAAAACATTCTAAAAAAACAGAAACGTCTTTTTTTTTTTTTTTTGTTCAAAAATTACCGAAGAGCATTATAATATAACCAAAATAAAAGCTGGTGAAAATGAATTAAGACAGCCATAATATTACTAATTATTAGTATTAATGTTGTTGTTTTTACAGTGAAATATTACAGTAGTATGGAAGCCCGTTTCCGCCATGGAATAAAATTCCATAGTTTTTTTTTTTTTTGAGAATAAAACTTCAGAACTTGTGAGATTCTGACTTTTGTCTTGCAATTCCAAGTTTACATCTTGCCATTCTGAGTTTATATCTGGCAATTTTGACTTTTTTCTTCTTCTCTGAATTCTAACTTTCTATCTCGCAGTTCTGTTTTTGGTTTCTTTTTATCAGAATTGTGAGATATAAATTTAGAATTACAAGAAAAAAGTCAGAATTCTGAGTTTATATCAGAAATAAAGATAAAAAGAGATAAAAAGTTGCAATTATCTTTTTTCTTTTTTTTTATCCTATAGCAGAAACAAGCTTCCATACAATAGTAATATTTCTTATTTTGTTTAATATTTTAATTTATTAATATTATTATTATTTTCTAGTCATATTGATTTATAATCACAAAATTTTGGGCCAAATTGTGCAGCCCTACAAACAAGCACAGCAGGTTTTTTTTTTTTTTTTTTATCATATTTTAAACCATAATTGAAGTTTTTATCAGAAAAATCAAATTTTTTTTCCATGACTCGTGCAGCTGTATGACAAACTTAGATAAGCAGAAGTTCTGGAGTCCTCAGAATGAACATGGTTTCAATTTGGTTTGAGTGTCAGCGTTACATTTACAACCTAATGTCGGCATGAAATCAGAATTAACCGTTTTTATCATGTTTTTTGGGGGATTTTGTTCACAGTGTAATCTATAGTATCTGTAGTTCTGTGTCTCATTTGATCTCATTATATGGTGTTATTTTATGGGCTGCTCTGACATCAGCCGTGTTAATAAAGCCTGATTGATGGATGGGTTTGTTTGTTTGTTGTTTGATTGATGGATGGATGGATTGCTGGATGGATGGATGAATTGATTGATTGATGGATGGATGGATTGCTTGATGGATGGATGGATTGCTGGATGGATGGATGGATTGCTGGATGGATGGATGGATGGATTGCTTGATGGATGGATGGATTGCTGGATGGATGGATGGATTGCTGGATGGATGGATGGATGGATTGCTTGATGGATGGATGGATTGCTTGATGGATGGATGAATTGATTGATTGATGGATGGATGGATTGCTTGATGGATGGATGGATTGCTGGATGGATGGATGAATTGATTGATTGATGGATGGATGGATTGCTTGATGGATGGATGGATTGCTGGATGGATGGATGGATTGCTGGATGGATGGATGGATGGATTGCTGGATGGATGGATGGATTGACTGTGATCAGGCTGAAGCAGCAGGAGGAGCCGCGTGGCGCGAGGGAGACGGCGCAGGTGTGTGTAAACGAGAGCTCAGATGAACACGTGACACGTCTGCTGGAGGAGAGAGACACACTGCTGCGCACCGGCGTCTACACACACAACGACAGGATCATCTCTGAGCTCGACCGGCAGATCCAGCAGGCCATGAGCACCTGAACATCAGCAAACACACCTCGCTTGATTTCACTTCCTTCAGGTTTCGCTCACAGTTAGATGTGTGTGATTTCAGCAGGTGGCGCTGCTTCTCAATAGATCATTGCTGGATTATTAACACTTTAGAGCTTCATAAGCCTTTATATGTGACTTTATTTATAGTGTGTGTGTGTGTGTGTGTGTGTGTGTGTGTGTGTGTGTGTGTGTGTTTTGTACTAGATTTGTATCTGTCAGTTTAAATAAATATTTTTCTTATCTCTTTTCAAACTCTGCCTTGACTTTTTGTTTCTGTTTGTTGCAGCAGTTTGTGTTGAAAAAAGGATCAGTCCAGTACAGGTTTTGGTTGTCTTGTGTGTATAT